GTTTCTATATAAGTAGGCCTCAAGATTATCTGTAATTCTTAAAAAAAAAAGTCGCTTAAGGTGACTTAGGGACTGAGTGTGAGTTTTTTAATGAGATGAGTAGACCTTATAACGACATGGTCTTGGATGTCGCATTTGCCCTGTGACCCACTGGTATCCTCGGTCATGTAGTGGAGTGGAATAGTAACATTATCCTGTTACTCATTACATGGAATTGAATACCAATAGGGGTACTGAGACCTAGGCGAGGTGAAAACTTTAGCCACCCTAGAAGAAATAAGTTCTTGGGAAGCAAGACTAAGTGGAATTCAATAGCATTGTCAAGCCTAATCATCTCATTGTAGGAAAAATCAACTATCAGCTCTTAAATCACCTTAAGCAAAGTAGAGTGATTACATTTTTAAAATTAAATGTTGGATAATCATATTAAAAGTTACAATATAATTGGAGTGTGGTAATTTGAATCTTCTTCATAATCATTTTGGGTTCTATCAGAGAAACTGATCACAGAGGAAACATAAGGTTGCATGGAACAAATTTTGTTCACGAGTAAATCTTGATGGTAACGAATGAAAAACGCTAGCAAAAAAATTTAACAGTATGAAAATATGCCGGGTTTTGACGAATGTCAGAATACAGTGATGTTGACATACCTTTAATTTTGTTTAAATAAGCGAGATGCAGCGATACGTAAGTAGGCCTCACCAGAAGCCTAAGGAGGATTGCCTCAGAGTTGCGACTGTAGATTTGTACAGAGGAATCGTTCGCTTTCGGTTAGACCGACTTACGAATTTCCTTCACACACGTATTCAAACGAAATTAAAGTTATGCAAACACGCTTAACAATAGCCTACATGAACTTGCAAAACGTATTCCACTACTATTATGCATAAACAAAACATATTCCATTAGATAAAAATAGCAAAATAGTGAATTCAAGTAGCAAGCCAATTATTCTTTAAAAACCTACCTCTCATCATCTTCTTGTAAGGAGGAATCTTTGCAATATTCTCTGCATTTTGTTCTTCCTCCTCGTCGAATAAAATTGATTTAGAGTTCAATAAGAAAACTAGTGAAATAAATAAGGTAAATAATGGATCGGAAACAAGAAATATTATGTCCCAAAGAGGAACGACGCATTTAGGATTTACAACGCTGGCGAAGAGACTCGTTAGCCATGAGCGAGCATACAACTCAGGTCCAATATTGAATGAATCCAACAGGTTGCAGAGCTTTGGCTCGTGGTACTGAAGCAGCAGATGGAGAACTGTGCAAGCCCGGTTATCGGTATTATAACCGGCTGCAATAAACCGATGATGCACGGACACGAAGAAAGCATATAAGTCACTTCGGTCTAAAGGTTCAAGGGTTCGGTGTATAGTCGTTAAAATAGGAAGCCAACCATTGTTGGGCACGTATTCTAGATTATATGTCCTGGCGAAGTGTGTTAGCACAGCCTCAAAGTCACTGGTGAGATGAGATAAAGATGGAATGCTGAGGTCATTGGGGCCCGAGATATCTAGGCAAGGATGTACATCGGTCGGACTTGTACTCTCCTGCTGCACATGAAGAGAATTCGCGGGCAAACTTTCTTCGGTGGCTTTGTTTTTCATGGAGGATAAGTAATGAATAGATTCCTTCGCATAATTTTCACAGTCTCTATGTAAATCTAATTGGCTCTTAAGATCATATATCTCTTCGAATTGACTCAGGGCTGCAGACTGGACCTCGGGTCGAAGACATATACGCCAGACTTCCTTTCGCAAGTGATCAGGTACAGGACGATTTTGACAGATGAGACGGATTTTGGAGAAGTCTGCACCTTCTAGGATACAGAAATGCACAAATGATCAATAATCTTTTATGTAAGAGTAAATAAATAATAAATATTTATTATTTGTCAATCAAATTGAATAGCTGAAGTCTGTAATGACTGCAGATAAAGTTAGAAGTGATAGCGAGCTGATTGAAGAGAAATGGTTTAATTTACGACCCACGCTTATTTCATGCTAAGACATTTACGTCTGTCCTGCGATCTAGGTGGCTCGTGGCAGTGGCGTAATGGTTAACGTGTCAAGATTATATGCTGCACTAGATGGTTTCAAAGCTCCATGGTGGTGCTGATGAGACTGAGGCGAGGTGGAAACAGCAATCCCGCTTGATTGAGATACCTTTTGCGAAACAAGGCTATGTTAAATTAATATGAGAGGTATTCACCTTATTTCGTTTAAGGTGATGAAGGACTGGTGATAGAATTTTCCAACAATTATATGAGTATAGCCGACGCTTCCATTGAATTTCGCATTGCTTTGCTTTCACAAAAGTTGTTCTCATCCAGGGTGGACTGCAATTTCGACCTCGCATCAGTCTTATCAACACCCGTAGTGGGAGTCGAACCGTGACAGTGCAGAATGGGAGCATGGCACGTTAACCACTCGACCACATTGCCACAAGTGCCCTTGGGTCACAGGGCAGATGTGAATTTCAAGGAAGGTCAGGCCTTTTTGCTATATCATATCTCGAAACCCGACTCAAATACGAAAATATGTTAAATTAAATGGAAAGCGTGAGGCCTATTAGTATAATTGTGGAAAATTCAACTAATAGTCCTTCATCACTTTATTTGGCCAGGGGGTAAAAACAACCCTTCTTCAGGACTCAAGTATTGCCTGCAATAACACGTAAGTAGTGAACTGGAGAAGAGAAAATGAGATGTGAGATACTAGACCCTAAATGCATGGGCATGAAAAAGAAGGGGCCCTACTAGGGATGATTGCAAATAATAGTGTTGCAAAAATTATCACTGTTTATTTTGAAAAAGAATTATTTTGACCTTAGGCTACATAAGATTATGTAAGACTGAGTCGAATTTTTCCCACAATGATTTTAGTAGGCCTAACGATGCCCCCGAGTTTGACTTAGCTTTGCTTCCCAAAAGTTATTATCATCCAGGATGGATTGAAGTTTCGATTGGAAGCAACACTAAGTGAAATTTAATGGAAATATGAGGCCTACTCAATCACTTTACGTGTCCTAGGGTGAATAAAATCGATATAAATGATAGTTTCTAAACCTACTCTAAACGAATATCCAGACTTAATTGTTGCAAAACGAAGAAATTCTCCGGAGTTGGACACTTTTAAGTAAATAAATGTTATAACTTGGTTAAAATAGTGGATGAATGAGGGAGAGAAAACGAGATTTCGTATGCAAGTTTTGATCTAGTATACTTGTACACGAATATTCCGGTAAGAGACAACACAGGAATGAGTCAAAATAGGATCATTACCCAGAGATTGTATCGAGCAAAATGTTGAACACACAAGCATGAGATCAACAAATTTAGTAATTAACAGTATGTACGCTACCGCAAATGGTGAACTATGTGAGCAAACATAAGGTCTAACTATGGGGTAGTTTTTGGTACT